TATCTTTCATGCGACAATTGTACTTAAGAATTAAATATTTTAAATTAAAAAAAAACAAAAAAACGAAACGTTGTTTCAATTCTATTCATTATTGGTTCTTCTTTGTTTCAGGAATTGATTTTTGCTTTCTTAAAAATTTGCTTTCACAATTGAATTCATTATTAAATTTTTAATAAGGAAAAAAAGGATCTGTTTAGCTAGTTGTTCATAACTAAAGTAACGTTGGCGTTTTCATCAAATATATGGAACACCTGTCTGTACCACTTTTAAATCTTACACGAAGATCGATGACAAAAATTTTTAAAAATATTTAAAAATCGCGTTTGTTGTCAAAGTTAATGAAAAAGTTATTCGGAATTTTCCATAGAAATATCGCAAATTAAAACTGAAAGATTTATTTTATTAAGATATGAAAACTGATGGCTAATGTGAAAACTAATTTCAACTTTGGTGGTTCGTGACGATTCCTGTAACTAGTTATATCCGTTATTACAATTAAAGGGGGAAATAATGGCGGCAGGTTAGCATTAATGAAATCCTTCATAATTATTAAAATATTTTCGATTTCGCATATGTAACTTGACCTAGTTAAGAAACTGAACTGAAAAAAAAAATGCTGAACCAATCGTTCTTTCTTGATTATTAAAAACAAAATAGAATTTCTCTTTACAATGATGGGTTTTTTTTTTTTTGTCTAAGATTTAATATAACTCCTGTTGAAAAATAGGCATTTTTTGTCTTTGGAAGGAAAAATAACTCAAAACCAAATAATATGAACAAAACCAGTTTGAATAGAGTAGTTATTAAAGAAGACTGAACAATCGTGACAAGAGATTGCCTTAAGCTTTTGTCTTTGAAGTCATCACAACCAGTCTAACGAGCTGAATAAGTAGCGTCAAGTAGGAGAATTATTGGTCAATTTTGTTTGTTTAGAAATAAATGTATAATTGCTTTATAATGTCCTAAAAGAAAGACTAATATATATATATATATATATATATATATATATATTATATATATATATATGTATGTATTTTTCTTTTCAAATAAAAAAAATTCCAAGTCTCTCGAAGCTGTAGCAATTAGACATAGTTTTACGTCACCAAAAAAAAAGACATGCCATGTTAATGAGAAATATATTTTTTAGCCTTTTTATCTCGATTCAATGATCTTATCACTTTAAACTAAATATAGCAAGGTCAAAAGCAGCTTAGCTAAAAAATATTTCAATAGAATTTTGCTGCCATCGGCCGGTAACCTGAATGTTCGGTGAAGTAGAAAGTTTACGACATTAAAAGATTAATTGTCTGATTTCCTATGAGTTAATCAGACTGAAAACATTAAATGTAAGAAACAGTATAGCGTTTTTAATAATATTATCTTCTGTAGTTCTGTTTATGGAAAGTAACGATTGCAATTTTTAAAATATCTTATAAAAAATCAACCAAAAAACGATTGTTTTTACTACAATACTAACCATGACGGTTTACAATAAGTGAACTTGTTAAATGAATTCAAAAGGAATAAAATTATAAACTCACTCTAAATCGTTCAAATGCTAAGCATTGCAGAAAATGATGAGAACGTAAGCCAAAAGCAGTCATTGAAAGTTCGAATAAGTAAAAGAAATTATTTGCGTACTTTTACAGAAATAAATTTGAAAGAAAAGGACGTCGTAGGAAAATATGGATGAATACTCGAAAACAAAAGAAAAAATATTCAAAGATCACGTCCTCTCTTTGCAGAGTGAATATGAAGGTTTTCATTCTATTGCAGAAACTGTGACTCGTAAGAGTGAAATATTATCTGAGTGATGGAATTTTTTTGCTCAGATGAATCACTTTCCAAACTGTGATGTATATTTTTGATTCCTGCCATATTAACTACTTTCCAATAAACGTTATAATCAATGGAATATATATTGTTTGTAGAATGTGTATGTACACTAAAGATTTAAACGCGGGAAATCAAATCGGTGGTCGAGTTGAAATTCCGACTGAGGCAGTGAACTCAATTCGCATGAATCCATCTCCTCTCCCTACTCGCCCCAACTATGGGTTAAGTAGTAGGGCAGACTGGGTTCTCATAGCATCTGCAAGGAGAAATCTAAAATGCAAACGCGTAAAGAAGGCAACGATAATCCAAGCCACACCTTTTCCCAAGAACAGTCATGGCAATACACGCTTTATAGAATTTTTTTAATCATTTCACTCCATGCAAGGCATTAAAGCCACAAGGGGTTACTGAGTGTGAAAGAATAAGAAAAAAGAGACAAACATTGTTAAGCAATGAAAACAATAGAAAAGTAGATAACGATTGACATTGCGTTTAAATTTTTGAAGATCAAAGTTGGCTACAAAGCAAGCAACCACGTGAGAGTTCCACAAGCGAGAAGTGCGAGAAAAGAAACTGTTATCATGGAACTTACAGTTGCATCTAATTAATTCAACTCTGAATTGATGAGACCTTGTGGTCAATTTAATACGCACTTAGATTAATAAAGTTTAAATACCACCGCGAAGAATTTATCCTAACAATTACCATGAAAGTATTTATAGAAAAGGCACAGGGAAGCTATGTTACGGCGGTAGGGAAGTGAATGAAGCCGAGATGCCAGGTCCAACAATATTGCTGATTCTTTGAATTTTATCGGGAATCTCTAGGTATATAGCGGGAGCACTGAACCATATCAAGAAACAATATTCAAAGCATTGTCGAATGGAAGACTTATAAATATATGATAGATTCTGGAGAGAAAAATGGTCTAGCACGATACAGTGAACCAACTTTCTTAGCAGCACAATTAGCAAATGAATTGGACATAATCTTTCTTCTTCATGTAAACTGAGAATGTTAGCCCGAGAAAGCGCAATGAATCACTCACGTGGAGGTTAGCATCAGCCTTGCTAATGTAAGCCTGAAAGGGTCCTCTGAATTGATTAAATAGAAAGAAGTTTCGTTTTGGGGGCGTTAAAATTAACATTCTATTCTCTTCCTCAGTTAGCAGATTATTGATCATTTTTTAGATCAGCTGCCAATTTGACCTTATCGAACAGATCAGACTTACCATTACGACAGGAATAAATGGTTGTGAAATCAGAATAGATACCAAGTTGAGAACCGATGTAATCAGGAAGGTCACATGATTAAAATTAAGAAGAAAAGAGGCCCAAGGATAGAAACCTGGGGTACCTGCATTAATGCAAGGGGGTCTAGAAGAGTTGCCATTCAAGACATTCCTTCATTTTCGCGATTTTGATAAGAATGAAAAATTCGTCCAGAAATACTATAATCTTTCGTCAAGAAATACCATAATCTTTCAACATGCGAAGAAGACTGGTATGCCAAACAATTTCGAGATGTCCAAAGCAACAGCCCGATCTTCAACGGTCTTATCTAAAACTTGTTAGACTCTTTCAGCAACAATCATTATTACATCAGCAGTTGACATAGAGAAGCGAAATCCAAATTGCTTGTCTGAAAGAAAGTCTTGCGATATGAAATGCTTAATGTTTAGTTGATTAGGGCTTCTGGTAGTTTATCAAAAAAGAAGTCAATAGTTCGAAGGGTCATACGGTTCACGTGGGATCTTAGACTATAACTAGAGAAGAGGATTGCCAACAAACAGGAAAGCAAGAGGCAGCGAAGCATTTATTGTACAGTTTAGAGAGAACAAGGGCCAGTTCGTGAGTCCATTTTTAAGGACGATTACAAAGATATCATCAGATACACATGCTTTGTGGATATCCAGGTTAGAGATGATAGCAGAAACCATAGAATGAGTTATATGCATATTACTCAACAAAGAGACAATAGAGTGATATGCATATAACTTTTTAATGGGAAGTTAGGCAAGACGTGAAGAACGGTCTGTTTTTATTAGCAGATATTACCATCTTAAGTTAAGTGAAGAGAGTAGGAATAGAACACTTACTCTTATTTAATACACTATTACAGAGCCGCCAGTAGTCACGAAAATCAAAGTTAGAGACTTTACAGTGCCTCAGGTAATCAGCATTGCAAAAACTTAGCTTCTATAAAGATACGTTTACATTTATTACGTGTAGCCACAAGTAGGACTCTGTTGTGATCGGAACTGCCACGCTGGTATAGGTGGTAAATGTGATTCCTGCGGGCTACAGCGGCCGAATCATGGGGATGATTGTAGTTTCACCTGGAATTTTCGAATAGTTACCAAAGCATCGATGCTGTCTCTGACAGAAGAGGAAATCTTGTAGTTTGGTACTTGAAAGGGCGTTGCTCTTCCGGAGGTCTTTCTCATTCTTGGAGTGTCGTTCAGGCCTGATCTTCAACTGGAGAAAAAATTGGTAAGAGGTACGGGCAAAGGTAAGAGCAGCGGTCTGGACTTGGCTTCGAATGCGGTTGTTCTTAAAGAGTAGGGCTAAGGTATGTTCCATGTACATATTTCTCCTCATCCTTTACCGAATGACTGTACTCCCTCTCTAAGTATAACTTAGAGGCGCTCGAGTGCTTGCACTTCACCCTCTTGGAGGAGGAGAGGAGGGCAAGCGTATAGCCTGCAGAACAGTCTATGTCCATGGAATGGTTGGGAATGCCACACTTGGCGAATCACCGACACGCCTCGGTGTTGATTTTCCTACGCCGCGGGTTGACAGAGGCACAACTGTGACAGAGGAGTGTTAGGGACGCCTTACCTATTCTTATTATCACTCCTTTCCATTGCGAGGCTGAGCGCCGTCGTGAGTCCAGGAATAAGGCGGAATGAATGTCGTCAGGCCTTGCTTGTTACTCTTCGTTCCAGTGACCTTTCATAGCCTAAGAGAGTATTGTATTGGGGAGTAGTAGAGGGTTTCACATCGTAATAATACACATAATTTGTTTAAAAACTTTTCAGATATTATGCCGAAAGTGAATTTATTTCATATTGCCTTACAGTGAATGTTGTTTCCTGAAATTTAAAAATACTCCCAATTTATCTTGCTTTTATTTGATTTATCGCGCAATATTTTCATTTGTAGGAAACTTTCGATGCAATTGACATTGATGGAAATGGTTGGATCAGTGTGACAGAATTCTGCTCAGCGATGTATAAAAATAGTATCAGGTAAGTAAAAATTGATACCATTCTCTCTTGATCAATATCAGTTGATTTTTTGTACTACATTTGTATTAATATTTTTAATATAACTTTTATATCTTTTTATTTATTTTAAACTTTCTACATTCTTTGGTATTTGATTACTTCGTGTTTACTGAAATCAAGAAATGTTTTATAAAATCAATACTGAATTGTTTATTTCAGAATAATACGTGATTTAAATAAGATCATACCATTTATAATCACCTATTTTCAGACATTCTTTCTCATCGACTAGTTCAGTGCATAATTAGAGCGACATGACCAAAGATTCCATCAACTAAACACTTTTAATCCTAAGTGTTGTGTCTGTGAATGTTGATTATAGCTAATATGATTAATTGAACAATGTCAGTTATTTAAAATCTAATTTCAGTATTTCACATTTATATATAAAAACCTTGATGTCTGTCGATACAATTACTTTCTGATATTTGTGAGGTGAAATATTCATTCTTGTTTCTACAGAAAAAGCGAATTTGTAACCTTGAGTAAATTATTTTCAATTATCGTAAATGATAAACTGGTAAAATATTGAATTATCTCTATTGCTGTAATTGATGAGAAAATATCTTTATAAAAATTTAACTGTTTAACTGAGTCAATATAGTTGAAATTTGACTTCGTTTAATAAATCTGTTTTGACATCATGAAGCAATTAACAAATAACTATATTGTGGCCTGATTCTTATGTATAATTATATATCTACTATCGGTAGTCGGATTTCGAGTAGAAACCTAGATACTAGAATAGACATAGAAAGAAGTCGATATTACTCACATATTAAAGAATGGCGAAAGCAACAAAGCAGCTAAGTAAAGGACTGTTAGTCTAACGAGCACTGTGTGCAATGTTACGGAAACAATCATCACAGACAGAATAATGAATCACATTCAAGAGAACATCTTGATAGTACCATTTCAACAAATATACTGGAGATAATCGGCTCGGTAAGAGATGAACACGAAGAGATATATGACTGGATTCAGACACTAGAAGAATTAGACTTCAGTAATTTCACGGCAACCTAAAGGATTAGCAGATTGTTAGCAGTTATGCTTTAACAATGAAAAATACAAAATTCATCCCGGCTATAGCTATCTTAGAAGTAGCATTGATAGATAATTTCTGGAATCATCTTACCTGGATGTACATGTGGATAATAAACGTAAGATTAACAGGCATACAAAAATTATGGTAAACGAATTCAACAAGATAAGGGATTAATCAGAATGTCATAACAGTCTTTAGATGCTGCAACACCGCGTCTACTTTTTATTACCCTGATACCTTTGTTAGTACTGTGTGGTTACCACATTACCAAATGAACAAAGGCCTAATTGAGGTAGTTTTATGTGGAGCAAATGCTAGTTTCTGGGCTATTTGACTGCTCCTATGAAGAGAGACAAGAATACAGTAGAAGATACAAGAATACAGTAGAAGATACAAGAATACAGTAGAAGAAATAACATTGAGGCAAAAAATACAACCACGGATTGTACAACGTTATCAGTTTCCTTTTCATTTAAAACAATAGCACCACGAAGTCTTCCTTCAAGAAGAATTGACGAAAAATCAAACTGGAATAATTACTGTCACGTAAGTTATAGATATGAACATGATTAAAGATCAGATGAAATGCCGTTAGCGTATTCTCATCTCATCTCATCTCATCCCTATCTCAATATATATATATATATATATATATATATATATATATATATGTATATACACATGAAAGAGAGATTAGAATTTTTAATTTAAGAGAGACCTTTCTAATCTATTTTGTTTGTTATACACAAATAATTACGCCGATCTACCGAAGTCTCAATTAGAAGCAATTAATTTTAAAGAAATACTACGCGCACGGATGTTCAGTTAAATTTGATTTCATGGAATTATTTCACATTTTTCTTATGTACTTGAAAATTTCATTAAATTAAAAAATTCTAAAAAGTACACTTTTTATTTAGTGTGATTTACAATAAAACGTTGAGACTTAGAATAAAATTTTGCGATCTGTGAAAAATTTCTAAATGAATGTTTTCATTTACTGGTTCTTTGAATAATGAGAAATTGCTATTGTTTATTTTTATGACTGTATAAAGTTTGATGAATAAAACAAGAATTCATAAATAAGCATAAAAGTGAAATTGATTAAATAAATAAAAGAAATTTTGTTAATAAAAATGGATTTATGCATTGGAAAGCATCGCAACAGTGATGCCAGAAGAAAATTCCTTTGAAGAATCAGAATTTGAATTATTCCTGTTATTTTTCAGAAACAACATGGATAAGCAATTCAAGGCTATGGATACCCAAGGCAAAGGTACTTTGTCTATTGAAGAAGCCTGGAAAGTAGCCAATGAATATGAATGCCTTCTTAGCCGTGAGGAAGTGGAAGCAGCATTCACTTTGGCAGATAGGGATGGAGACGGTATCATTACTTACAAGAAATTCATTCAGGTTCTTACAATATAACCAATATACTTACTTCTAATGCTTACACATTTGCTTAAAAAACATGAAGAAGTTTAAAAAATGTTTCAAAATGAATATGAACGAAAAATGTGATTTTAAATTAAGGTTTTTTATAGTTTTCCTATTAAAAAAGAGGAGATTAATTGACAAGATGTGAACTCAAGATGGATTTAGTCTTGCAAGAAAAGTTTACATATTTTAGTATCAGTGAATGTGACAGATTATTTTCTAAGGAAACTGCTGAAAAAAAAACTTTTATTTTATTGCATTTGTATTCAGTTAAAATTATTAACAAGGAAACTGATGCTATTCTAATAAATATATTGTATTCTTTAATAAAAAATAATTCTTTATTGATTTCTTCGTATTCTTTTAAATATTCTATTACTTCACTCTTTATCTTACCGTCATTTCTATTTTCTTTAACCTTCTTCCACTTCTTGTTTCTTTTTAAAGTAAGAATGATAACGCCTATTTGATCCCTTTTTCTTTCTATTTATTTCCTATTTTTATCATTTTAGCGTACATTTATTTTCCTTTATTTAGCTTTGAAGCTTTACCTTATTTGACTCATTCAAAAATTGTAAAAGTCAATATCCCATCTTGCTTCCTTAACATAAATATATATGGAAAAGTTTGCGCCCGTGTCTTCTTTTTTCAAACATTTGCACTTAGTTTTAAAATCTGTCCACATTGTCAGCATTTCACGTGGAATCTGTCGCTGTCTATTACCTTTCGTACACGTCAGCTTCAGAGGCAATACCGGAATAAGAAGTCAATCGAAGGAGTTGTTTGTGTTTCTAATTCTCTTCTATTGCAGTTGGACGGACCAGTTGGCAAGCAAGTGAGTTGCATGGGAGATTAAAAAATAAAAGTTATTAGAAGTAATGTTAAATCAAATTCATGTAAATTCATAAAACTAAAAAGTAATAGTGAGTTTGCTTTATATTATCGTCCCATCCGGTTTGTCATCACAAAGCGAATTCTTAAAAAGGATCTTTGCTGTTGTAGTGGGCCGTGGCGGTTATGTTGTTGATAGAAATCAGATGTAGAAGAAACGCAAGTAAGGTTCAGATACTCCTGCTCGCCGGGCCCAACTACATAAAAAGGTTGAACTTTGATTAAGTTCAAAGAAGAAGGCAAAGAAAGCAAACAAAACACAAGACCGATAATATATGTATATACAAATATATATTAATGACAAGTTACAATACATGGAAACAGTACAAAGGATGAAGTGTATGGGAATATTCTGTATGTGCGTGCGTGCGTGTGTGAATATTCTGTATGTGCGTGTGTGTGTATTGTGCTTAGCGTGTTTCCACGCTATCCCTTGTTAGCGCCTACATTTCGAGGTTGATAGCTGAAATCCTGAGGAAAAAGAGAGATTTACCTCAAGGTGTCGGCGCACAGACCTGAAGGAAAAAGAGATAGAGGCGAAGGGTCAGCGGCTATTTATAGCCAGGGAAGAGAGACCCCTGGTGAAAGGGTTAATGTACTAAAGGAGGAGTTAACTCCGACACTGTATTCATTCATTTTTGTTCCCAGTAAATCTTAAAGGTACGGGTATCTTTTTAACGCGCATTTGTTTTTGTTTGATCGTAAATGTAAATGTACGATTGAAAAAAAAATCAGCCACATATTGAGGTTTATTTTTAATAATAAAATTTCTATTAAGAATTGGATGATTTAAATTTTAAATATTACAAAAAATATTTCGATGGTAATTTTAAGCTGAAATATAAAATAATGCACTGCCTTGTTCATCAACTTTTTAATTCAATTTATTAAATTATATAGTAAGTTTACAATATGGAAAATAAGAACAAATTCATTCTATTTTTAAAAACCTGCTTTAAATACGTGTTTATAACTCGAAAAAGAAAAACACCTTTGATTGATATATTTTATCTCTTGACACCAATTTTGATTCAATTTCTCGGTTTAAACATAATTTATCTCATAATGTTTATACAGAAACTGAATAAGTTTAACGACGGTAGAGTCGGGGTAAAATCAGTGGATAGAGAGAAGAAAGTTCGAAAGCTTTACATATGCCGGGTTCAAATGTAGATGGAGTTAACAATATAACCGTGATTCATATTTCATTTTTATTCACCATCTGAATGACTGAATGTTTCGAAGTATTTGTTTTAGAAACCCTATATGCGAGTTTAAAAAAAAGAGAGAAAAGAAAAATATTGCAACTGATCATTGGAAAGCAATGATACCAAATTAAATGTGGAATCCACATTGTTTTCCCCACAATCCATTAAGAAACATACAATTGAACATGGGTAATCATCATATTGTTTTTCCCAGAGTGAAAAGCAAAAATTTTGTTATAAAAATAACTGACAGAACAACAAAAAAGATTATTGTATACGCGAGCAGGCAATGTGAATTAGGAAAATGTTACTAACATGACATCGCTAAAAAAAGAGCATAGCATGATGAAAAAGACGCCAAACTTGACGAAAACAAAATTTTATCGCCTAAATCCTTATGTTATTATTAACAGGAAAGACCAAAGTTTTTATTTAATTATTTTTTTAAAAAATTTTCCCATCTTTTTAGAACATTCTAAATTTTGATTAAAAAAACCTTGTTACTCTTTGTATTACCGGAAGTAGTAAAATAACATACAATTTTTAGCAAGTTTTTTTTTTTTTTTTTTTTTGTGCATGACACATTAATTTGGAAAATCTTGCAAACATAAAAATAATTGGCGGATGTTAATGAAACTTTCAGAAACTATTCACAGATGATCGAAATTATTATAAATGATTTTTTTTATTAAAGTCATGGCAGAAATATTTTTTTTATATTTATTACCCCACCTAACTAATTTTATGGAAACGCTAGAAATTCGTTCGAATCCAGTTTAGTGATTTTAATTGGAACAGCCCACCCGACCCCACCTGAAAATCAGCTCTGAAATTTTAACATACAAAACTGAATAAAACAAAGATATTATTTAATTTCAAATGCTTTTATTTGCTTTTAGTTGTTTTTATGAATATGGGCAATATTTTCTGAAAGCAAAAAATTTTTTCGATGAAAAATGAATTTTTAATACAATTATTTGTTATTTCTTTAATTATAATAGATTTTTACATTTAAGCTGTTAAAATATTATAAAATTAGTTAAAAGCCGCATCCGCTTTCCTAAGTGTCCTTATGAGATAGATCTTTTTTTAGCGCGTTGTAAATTGTATCGTTTTGACTAATCCGCAGTAATTAAGAAATGAAATTTTGTGTTTATAATCGGGCTGTAATTATAAAGTACAGAAGACCAACCAGAATACAATTAAGTTGCGTTATTTGAGTTAAGTATTGTTCTCCGCTGTTAAGGCCTTTACTTTTGCGAAACACGTAAAATATCAAATTAATAATAAAATGAATGAAAATACAAATAACACAGTAAAATGTAATAAATGTACATACAATTATAGTATTTTATGTACACTTCTGAAAGAAAGGTACCTATAAATTAATTAGATACCTTTTCTTATGAAATTTAATCTCACTCTTAACAGTCTTATTTTAATTTCTTTGATATATTTTCCATAAGGCATTGTAAACGTAAAGGTGAAAGCTAAGTACAAAAGAAAAAAAATTAGAACGCTGAAAGTTTTCCTTAAAAATAACGAGGTAAATAATTTGTTCACTTAAATCTAAATGACTTCACTTTTCTTCTTCCGTAGAACAAATTATCCTCACCTAATACGTCATTCAACGCCTGTCAAGTGACGCGAAAGGTTTTGACCTGCTTTGTTTTATTTTCAAACTACATCTTTTCGGCGCAGAAGCTAAGTTAAGCTTGGTTCAAAATATTTTTAATAAACATTATAATTTCTGATTTTCTTAAAATAAGTTTTGAATTGATATTTAAAAGAATTTCAAACTGAGATTTTCAGTTTTTTATAAAATAGAAAAGAAAATGGATGCCATGATTGAGTATCTGTCACTTTTGCTGACTCATAAAAAACAAGATTTTTAACGAAAATTTCGGACGTGCTAGAATCGATTAAAAAAAATGTAAAGAAATACCCCCCAAATACTTTGATCTTTCCTCTTAATAATAACATGAACATTTAGACGATAAAATTTTGTTTTCGTCAAGTTTGGCACCTTTTTCATCATGCTATGCTCTTTTTTAGCGATCTCATGGAGGTACCTATACTAAAATGAAAGAAAAGTGTCAATGGACTGGAAAGTATATATTTTTTAAAATAAAATATCTTTTCTTTGGAGAATTGGAAAAATACCCTAATGAACATTGAGAAAAAAATCTTGTTTAAAAAGTTGCAATTACAAAATTTTCGTTATTTTTTAACGATTAATAATTTGTACATCTATATGAAAGACTAAAATTGTCTGTTTGTTCGCATTTTACACTTTCTCCGCCCAATGCAACCACAAAGCCTATAATTTTTCATAGTAAAATGTTAGTAAAATAAAAGTGTAACATATTTGTCTGAATTACGTTGGTCAATTTTAATCTAAATAGTGAACCCCAATAAAAAGTAGTAGGAAATTATTCTCTCTTCACTGTTTACCCAAAACATTCTCTTTGACAAGGTTCGCTCACACACACACACACACTTTAATGAGTTGTCAATTTTACCGAGTGATAAAAATAATTTTAATTCTTTTTGTTTTCATTAAAAATTAAAAAGGTCATTTTTAATTGTTTTATTACATTAAAAAGACGGACAGCCTTCAATAAAATAACTGTAAAAGAAAACTAATTATTAGTTTGTTTTTTTGTTTTTTTTACAGTGGCGTTCACCCTGTACAAGGCCAGTGAAACACTGGAGCTTGAGGGTTAAAGAGTAAGAGGCACAATTTATGTGGTTATATAAGGAAGGTAACGTTTAACCCAGGACTTGAACACGCTAAGATTGTAGTGATCAGAAAAATATACACCTGGGAGTTGGTTCCAAAGAGCAG